TTTAAGGGGAATTTGAACTTTGATGGAGTCCACTGCAGAGACATTTTGAAGCCATGTGATTTTATGATGACTGCAGGAAATATGCCATCAAAAACCAAACAGAAGTGTTGATGACAAACTGTTAGGGAACTTAAAGTTAGGATGGTCTAATATTCAAAGGATAGAGCCTTTGCACAGTCCTTAAATACTTAGAGATTGTAACTGAGTCTTTTCAGAATGTCACATAACATTTTGCAGTTAACTGGTTCTAAGTTGTCCAAATGACAATTTAGATGTGAGCAGGCCCATCCGTTAGGCACTCAGAATCCACTCATTAGTGCAAGCCTGGACTGGATACCCAAAAGTTTGTCTCACGAATCCTCAAGATTAAACCACAGTCTCACGAACCCTCAACATAAATCGCAGGCTCATGAACCCTCAAGATAAACCACAGTAACACAGGCCCTGGTGTTTTCTTCTTCTTCAGTGGTGGAAAAGATAACTAGTCCCCCCTAGTGTCCTGCTACTGTAGGTGGCTGAAGGATGGCGACACTACAGGACGCACCCTCCCTGCACTGTGCATCAACTTTAAAGCGCAGCTCAGGAACCCAGAAACAAAGGAAACCTTCACAACCTTCCCAAGAGATGGAAGCACTTCCGAGACCTATGATGAGATGAAAAATCCCTTTCATTTCATTTCTAAGGCCCTTCCAGGTATGGTTTAAAAACCAAAGGTATCTGCATTAGCTCACATCAAAAAGTTAATCCACACCCCAGCACACTTCATTAGGTGAAGCAGGAGGGCCCACACTTGTCAGCAGCTACTGCTCACTCCACAGCAATCCCATCTTCCCTTTAAAACCCTCTCTGTCCTGCTAGGGAGATTTGATTCCTTTCCTTGCCACTCTCGAAAACCCACTAACCTCTAAATCTTGGTGACTTTTGCCTCTCTGTTCGAGTGAGTTTTCTTCCTGGCATGGAATTAACAGGGACAGGCTCGATAAATGTGTTCTCCACAAGCAATTTTCACTAAAGTAAAGTACTCTTGAACAATAAAGGTACACTAAGAGATGTGTGAAATCTTAAAGCCGGCGTTTTTATTTCTTTTATTTTGATCCCTAGTGAGGACCAAGTGTGACGGTGAGTAATGTCACCCATTTGTGAAAGATGGGAAAATAAACCACCACCACTTGTTCCTTTCTTAATTTAGAAGCTTTCCTTATCTTAAGTCTATCGAAGCTGACTCCTGAGGTGGGAAGAGAGGAGAGGTGAGGTGAAAAATTAACCTGAGGTGACCGCCTCCACGGAATGATAAGCAGTTCAGGTCTCCACACCTGTGTCAGAGAGAATAGGCATCTGCATATCAGGGAGGTGGACGCCCCCACCTGCCACCCCCTCCGTTCCTTCCCTTGAAGGAAGCAGGAGCCTGATCTCCCCCGACTCCCTCCTCTCTCTCTCTCTCTGGGCACTTACATAAGACCCTGTAAAACTTCCAGTGACATTCACGGAAAATGTAAGCTGCTATTTTGCTCCCTCAGGAGATCATTTTAATGGACTGAGTGACAAAATTCACGGATTTTGAATTCAGCAGAAACCTGCTCAACCGAGGTACATCAGCATAGGGACAAAAAAAAAAAAAAAAATCCATCCCCATTAAACAGGGTCACCCAAGGGATGGATTCAGTGTGCAAGAGACAATCTGTTCCCTCCGAAGTGACCCACTTAAAATCAGATTGTTCTGGGGGAAGCTCATAGGTTTAATAAATTTCAAACAGGCAAGGACAGGCTTGTACAACTGAGGTTCCTTAAGAGGAACATTTAAAAGAGGATAAGGCAATGAACTAAATAACTTGAGGATACACAAACTTTGGAGTCCTCACTCCAAAACTTCAAAAGTAGTGACATTTACAAGAATGTCTGGATAGCTGTACACTGATCACTCCTCATAAGCAACTTGCCTAATAGGAAGGACATGCTGACTGGGTTTCCCCCCCTACAGATAGCAATGCCAACCAACCACTCTGTCCTAAAGAGGGACTCGCAAGCTGTAGCTGCTCGCCCCCAAATTGCCCCGGACTGTCTGCAAGAAGAAACAAGAAAAGTTATTCACAGCATCACACCAGGAAAGGTAGTTGCGTACCGCCCAAGCCGGGCCTCTCCAAACACCGCAGGCTCCGCAAACCACAGGTGCTCACCGCTAACAAGTGAGGCCCCGGGTGCGAGTATCGGTCACAGGCACGCCTGGTGTTAACCAGAAACAACTCCCGGCTCGCTCCCTGCCAGCAGCCTGTGTGCCCAGAAGCGGAGGAGGCCCTGAGGGGGTCCTCGGGACGTCGGAGACTGAGGGCTTCCACCTCCAGCCTCTCCAGGGCTCCCGGCCAGGGCAGCAGAGGGTGTGCCCGGCCTCCCCGCCAGCATCCCGAGTACAGGGGGTACCAGCGACAGGTTCGGAGAACTTGTCCGGCGCTGCACACCACGGCGCCCCCGCGGCGACTCTCGCACTCCGGGGCTCTTACCTTAGCCGTGACTGCCGCCAGGCAGAGGGAGACGCGGAAGAACGGGGTGGCGCG